TTACAGTTCAAAGAATATGCTTTAGTTTTGATACGCATGAAAAGCATAGTACTAAGTTAAATATCATGTAAAATTACTAAGCTTTGTGTAAACAATTTAGGATAGTTAAAAATATTGACAACCAAGCTAAGGAAAGCGTCTGAACCCACTTCCGCTTTAGATACACAACTCAGGCTTCTTCCTAATGTGGATTCCACAGTCTTCAGCAATATTATATAACAGATGAACTGTTGAGGTTAAGTCAGACATTAGTCGGAATACAGTAGGCGACTTTGAAAGCCGCTTTGTTAATATCAGTCTTATATGCTATATCCAATGAAATGAGGCACAGTAGATTTGTGAATGAATCTCGTTTGTCCCCTGCTTAACCACTTAAGAAATTTCCGTGATGAGTCATTGAAAAGACTTAAACAACAAAGTAGCGTCATAGAAGGTTTGTATGAATCTCTAAAGCCTACTGGTGCGGTTACACCAAGATTATATGGACTACCAAAAGTGCACAAAATTGGTTTATCACTTCGACCAATGTTAGACATTTGTAATTCTCCATATCACGCCACAGCAAAATGGTTAGTGAAGCTGCTGAAACCTCTGCATGATGAATTGGTAGAACATAGCGTAAACGGTAGTTTTGAATTTGTTGGAAAAATAAGAGATTTTAATGTAAGGGACAAGTTTATAATATCTTTTGATGTATCCTCCTTGTTCACTAATGTACCATTAATGGAGACAGTAGATTTTATATGTGATGAGATTACTACGCGAAACATAGACATCGGCATTTCTGTATCCTCCTTGAAGGAACTTATTTTAAGATGCACAATGAATGTTCATTTCTTATTCAATAAGGAATATTACAGGCAAATTGATGGTGTAGCTATGGGTTCCCCATTAGGTCCAATCCTAGCTGATTATTTCCCCGCTAAGTTAGAGAATGGACCACTGAAAGGAGTAATTAATGACTTAAATTTCTACTGTCGATATATGGATGGTACATTTCTGGTTATGAAAAACGAGAATGATGCAACGAACATCCTTGACAACTTAATGATGCCCATTCAGCAATAAACTTTACCATAGAGAAAGAAAGTAGTGACAGTATCTCATTCCTAGACGTCTTCATGGCAAGGAAAGAAGATGGCACACTAAGAAGGAATGTGTATAGGAAACCTACAACAACAAGTCAGTACACTCATTTTTTGAGTTTTGTACCTTTGAAATATAAACGTAACCTGGTTAAGTGTCTGGTTCACATAACTAAGTTAATCTGTTCAGACGACTGCCTTAATGAGGAGCTTAAGATTATTAGAGAATTACTTAGAAAAAATGGTTATCCCGATAAATTCATTGAGAAGAATATCAATTCAGCACCAAGGAGAGTCAGTATAGCAACAGTTCCGAGAAAAAAACCAGTGTTCATAAAACTGCAGTTCCTCGGTGACAACATCAGTGAAATAATATATCACAGCGCTTGAAGAATGCAGTTACAGGAGCTTATTATGCAGCAGAGGTACGTTGTCTCTTCACAACCATCCCTCTTCTACGTTCGAGAAATAAGGATAAACTACCCAAATTTGCCTTCTCTGTGTGTATCTACCAGTTTGACTGCAGCTGCGGAGCCAGCGAGATTAGGCGTACAATTAGACAGGTTCATCATTGTATTTCCGAACATCATCTAGCATGGTTAAGCAAAGGACAAACAAAGTCTATTCGTAGCTGTATTTTAGCACACCTTGTAGACACCTAAGGAGCATAAGGTTGACGTTAATACTGCATTTAAAATTATTTATGGTACTCCTACTAACCTTAATTTTGCTTTACGAGTTCGGAATCCACCTGAAGAAGCCAAACCTGTGTGTTCGGAAGAAATTTGTACAGCCACTTTCCTTACCTTGGCCATCGTTACATGATTGCATAAACCGAACTACTTCATCCGGTCTTTATAATTATAATTGTCCAAATTACTATTATTTTTTCAGACTACTTCATCTTTAATTACGTGTGTTATCCCTGTAGAATTATTTTATTCTTATGACCACTTTAGCCTTAGATACAAATTATCATTGTCCAAATCGTTTTATTTTCTTTAATAATCTGTTACCTAATCACGCTGTGCAGACGCTTATTCCTTAATTACTTTTCATTTTTCCAAAATTATGCATTATGCAATTCACTTGTTGCAACCATTTCTACCTTATAATTGTGTGTATTAATTTTCTTCGTTAATTATCGTCCGTCTCCATGATAGATTGATACTGAATTATTATTGTTAACAAACATATCTATGCCACTTGATGATTGGTAAATTGTTGTGTATTGTAGTAAAAATGCTATACGTGTATATTAGAGTAGAGTGTGGAGCCAGGTATGTCGGCCGTACCCAGCGCTCGCTTTCCAAACGTATCACCGAGCACTTACCAACATGGTTTTACAAAGGAGAAAATCGATGCCCCCGCAGTTCCATCTTAGAATCCGGACACCAAGCTACACCGCAAACAAACTTCAAAGTCGTCTAAAGAGTAAGAAGTAGTCTCCCTAAAGGTGTACGAATCAGACTTCTTCAAACTGCAGAAGCAATGGCGATTCACTTGCTAAGTCCTGAACTCTGCATACAGAAGAAGTTCGTTCAATCACTACACTTGCAATGGACGTAATCTATCTTATTAGGCGACATGTAAATTCTACCTAATATTTTCTTCTGTCTATTCATTAGTATTATTTTGTCTTCTCAATTGTAACATTTTACATTTTCAACTTTCTTGTTCTCTACCCCCAACCGATTCAATTTCTACACCTCACTACCACTGTTACTGACTTGAACAACGCTCAGTTTCTAGTCATTCATGTTACGTCATCCAACTTATTCACTCAATTTCACTTCTACTTAATCTCTGCCTGTAATTACCTCTGTTGCTATCCCGACCTAAGTTGTAACATTTTAGCCAATTATATTACGTCATCTAGCTTTTTAACTCAGTCTTACTTTAGTTGCTGTCTGATTAACTTTGTCTCTATACTACATCATTCTTGTATTAACTAATCAATTATCTAAACTTGACAAACCACATGTACACACACACACACAAATATTTATATATAAATGCGATTGTACAGCTATGTGAATGAATTCGCCGAAAAGAGTCTCTTCGCTGCATGTCTTCTCTTTTTCATATTAGAGTAGAGCCAGAGTGAGATGAGGATCTAATTGAAAAGTAAATATTTCTTCGCTGCTCAATCTTTCTGTTTTCTAAATGTCCAAATGGTGAATTTTTCCTCTATTGAAAAACAGCATTCTTTACCATTGATGAAGTATGCTGTCTCTTTTCTAAACCACTCCTATTTGACGTTCGGGAGGTAAAGATGAACTAACGAATTTTACTTCTTCGATGCGTATATATTAATTTGACTGCTTCTCAGGAACCAGTTACATAGTCCTTACAATTAAGTGTGATTATCATCGAATATCTTAAGTGGTTATGCGGGGGACAAACGAGATTCATTCACAAATCTATTGCGCCTCATTTAATTGCATATAGTATATAAGACTGATATTAACAAAGCGGCTTTCAAAGTTACCTACTGTATTCCGACTAATGTTTAATTTGACCTCAACAGTTCATCCGTCATGTGATACTGCTGAAAACTGTGGAATCCACGTTAAAACGAAGCCTGAGTTGTGTTTGCAAAAGCAGAATTTGGTTCAAACGTTTTTCATGCGTATGGTAACTAACGCATTTTCTTTGAACTGTAATTGCACTGATCTCAGAAGATCGATACTATTTATAAAAACACTCAAAATACTTTATGACGCTTTTTTGGAATGTTACACAGATGTATTACATACATTTATTATGTTCGTTCCTTTGACTTCTGAGTGGAATAAAGTGCTTCAACAGTAAATCTCCGCATCATCCTATTCTCTGTCAGCCTCTTTACCTGGCCCCCACAATTGTTCATAAGTCTGTGATTTTTACTTCTCACACGGCCTCCTTAAGATCTCGTTGGGATCGACGTTCCACTAGTCGGTTCCCATTGGGGTTCCACTCTATATTGATAGCCTGGAGGATAATGTAGCACAACGGTTTCCTCAGAACAGTGTCTGATCCATTGGCATTTTCCATGGCATATTTCTTGAATGAACGGTTCGTTCGCAGGACCCTGAAAATTCTAAGTTCTACTCTTGATGTAAGCACGTCTACGTGTATATATATATATTTATATTAAAGCAGAGCCAGAGATGAGGATCTAATTGAAAAGTAAATATTTCTTGGCTCAATCTTTCTGTTTTCTAAATGTCTAAATGCTGATTTTTACCACTACATTCCTTAAGAATTTTGATATAATCCCATTGATGTTAGCATTAAGGTCATGATGACGACGTAAGAACAAGGCCTCTTTTTGAAACTCTTTGTAATTTGGTTTGACTTTACATTCGTTTTCTTATCACTGGATTTCTCTAGGTAACCATTTTCACAATAACAGAAAAAAGCATCATATATATAGGTAGAGCACACAAGGCAGTCAGCCGACACAATCCCTTCATTCGTCGCTATTATGCAAACTGAAAGATCCAACAGGAAAAGAAGATAAAATTAATACCATTTACAAAATAAACTGCATGCATGAACTGCAATAGACATCACATCAGTCATAGTGTGCCTCTCCTTCTAACCCGAATCCACGAAGATAAATTAGCTGTGACAAGGTACGATTTGTATTCCTATTTCATTTCGATGCATGTGGATAATCATGAACACGAATTTGATTGAGAGAATTCCGACATTTAATATAGAGGAAATACTAGAAACGCAGTCAAGAAATTCCTAGAAGCCTGATACTCAAGTGAATCAGTCAGAGCACATTAACAAGCAAATGATTATAATAGACCAATTAGTCAACAATTCGAAGTCAATACAAATTATCCATAGAGACGTAAATTATGTATATATAAAAGTAATCTCACAAATAATTGCACATAACAAAAAGATGATCTTACTCACTCAACTTCATTTTCTGATAAATCAATTAAATAAAATGGTTGATTAATAACACCAATCAATGGTACTCCGGTATATCGATCAAATAATCCTATGAGGATAGTGACATTGATTAGTCCACCACGATAGAAACGTATTAAACTTGTTGGATTTTCAAAAAAATGATTAATTTGATTTAAATGTTCAACATCTGCAGCAGATTGTGTCACAGGTGGTGATGTGATGTGCGATGATTGAGGTGGTGGTGGGGATGGTGGTGACGTTGAAGAAGAAGGTGAAGTTGGAGGAGTGCTGGTAGTTGGTGTGGTAACAGTAGCGGCGGCAGTAGCAGGAGTAATGGATGCCTGAATTTTATCAAATCGACCTTGAGCATAATCAGCTGTTGAGTCTAAAAAAAGCAATTATGAGGTACATCTTGCAATAAATTTTACTATTAAGGAAGAAAGAAAAAGACTCTACTAGTATTTCATTTTAAGACGTGCTTATGACCACAAAAAAGAGGACGGCACAATAAGAAGAAGTGTTTATAGAAAACCTACATCAACAGGCCAGTCCACACATTTTCTCTGTTTTTGGAATAAAGCAAAAATTATTATTAATATTACTATTATTTGTCTCATTCCGGTGAAGTCAGTTTTGTCCAGGAAGCCAGTGATCTGGCTATTTTCATGCGTGTTACCTCTCAGTTGGATTATTCCAAAAGTAAATTACTTTTTATGAGAAATTAGCTAGTAGTCCTTGTCAAATGATCCCTCCAAATGTAAAAGGGTTAATTTCACTTGTATAGATAAGTCAGATTTACATGAATTCGGACTAATCACAGACATTCTAAACTATGAATACAAAATTGCAATAGACTTCAACCTTCACCTAGAATGTACTGACTACTTGACCTATTCAAATATGATTGGTCATTAGTATGTATGTACTTTTATTTTATATGACTGAGTAGTTGTCATGCTCTTTATTTTATTATTATTGTGAACCATGTTAGTTGTAAAACCGAATTTGTCTTCTAAATGCATTATTCAAATTTATCAAAATGGACTAATTGTTTTAATCAATTGGTTTGTTCGCATATGGTCCTTGTATCAGTGATGGCGGTAAAGCTGAAATTAAGTCGAGTGTTAAATAACTCGGATTTTATATTTTCTTTTTGGTCTTTCCTAGTCTCGCGATATCATGTTAATTTGTTTAGAGAACTTATTTCACCTAAACTTCTATGTAAGGAGGGAAGTTCGTCGGATTTCCGAGCATTACCATGCATAGTTAAGTAAAGGACAAGCAAAATCTATTGGTAGAGCTATTCTATCCCATCTTGTGTATACAGAACACAAGATTGATGTCAATGAGGCAGCTTTCAAAGTCATTTACCGCACACCAACAAATCTTAACTGCGCAGTAAGAGTCCGATTACTGAATTTTGCTGAGGCTGGCTGCTGGGATCCATATTAACAAGCCTTATTTATGCATCCAAAAGAAGTTAGTTCAGGCATTATCCTTACCTTGGCCATCTAGGCTTGAATGATCCTTAATTTTTGTAGAAATCTCCCTAATTTTCGTTGATATTATAGTTGCCATTATATCTTTATTAATATTATTATAATTTAAGCATCTTTAATGAACTGTAGTTCCATCGTGATCTTACTTTACAAACCAGTATTATTTAAAAAACCACTAACATTGTTATTGACTACTATTCTAGAATATTCTGTGTATATAAACATATATATATACATATATAATTGTAGAGCCGGAAGAGGAATTTATCGAAACGCATATTCTTTGCTCGATTATTTTGTGTTTTATAGATATCTGAATGAATATTTTTGCTATATTAAAAAACAATTATTTGAAAAAGAATGGAAAGTATATATATATATATACATAATGGAACATATATTATTTGATCTTCGAGGTGGTCGTGGTGGTGGAGGGGGTGTCGTAGGCGAAACACTAGTTATTATGATTATTATTATTGTAACGGCGTAATTAAGCTCAGCTAGTTTTTTCTGGCTGGTTCCAAGCCCCTAAAACAGAGGAAGGGTTGGGAGCGGGGTTAGGGACCCTACCTTAGAAAATCAATACAGTTACTATAATAACTCCAACGTACAAGAAAAATACCTATCGTCGGTGGCATAGCGGTTAGGATGCTCGCCTGCCACGCACATGGTCCAGGGTTCGATCCTCGGCCACGGACGCACTCCTTTACCTCGCTGAGCTAGAAATAATGCTGGTGAAGAGGAAAGGTTGGGCATGAGGCTAGCAACCCTATCCTGTAAAAATAATCACCACTGCTACAGAAACTTCAAGCCACTAGCTTGACGCCCAATGTTCCACTGGGGAACGTGAAGGAAAGAAAAACAAGAAAAATACAAAGTAGTAAACTTATTCTTCATTGGAATCGAAGATGCGAAAAGGCATGGGCTGATGAAAGCCTATAGGAAACCACGTCAACCAACTGATGTGCCTTCTTTCGATGAAAGCAGAAATAAGGATGGAGACTTGGAATTTCTG